TAAAAAAAAAAACAATATTTTAAATGGCGAAATTAAAATAGAATACCTTATAGACTGTCGTAAATCATATGCTAGGTTTCAAAACATTGATCTTACCTGTATTTTGCAATCAGACGTATCACGCGAATATGTATATAATATATATTTTTGATTTGTTAAAATAATAACAAATTTAAACCTTTTATTTTGGTGAATGTATTTTTCAGCAATCGAGAAAAACTTTTATTTGTGAAAATTTGTATGTATATGCTGCGAATAAAATAAAGCCAATACATGAGAAATGTTTATAAAATCATACTTTTTTATGCGCATCTTACATTATGACGACCGCAATTTTTTTTAAACAAACTGAAGCCACATTTTTGCACATCTGGCTCTCGCATTAGACTGTTTACCGCCTGTCGTCTGTCTAATATCAGATCGCTGCGTCGCGTCGCGTTGTTTACGTGTGGAGTGGTCAAATTTTTATCGATTTTATTAACTTCAAAATAACTTACTTATTTTGGTACCTACACATTTGGTATAAAGCTAAGGTAAAAAACTAGCGAATTTTGAGAGCTGATTTAATTTATTTTTCCGCCTATGTGAGTTTGGTTTCTTATACCTATTTATTCAAAGTCATATCTATAGGTATTATTTATAAAATTATTTAGTATAATTGTTGGAATATTGACATACCTATGCACTATGTATTTTAAAATTTTAAAAATATACCAGTATGACAAACACCAATTGCCATTTATAATTATTATTGATAAAAAAATCATTTAATATTTGCCACAATGTATATATTTAGCAATTTAGACCCTACATTAAAAACATTCTAATTCGTCATCTTCCTTCATATCTTCCTCGAAATATGTATTTAATAAAGTTATTACAAGAACGACATTTACACTCGTTACAACATTTTAGGCCTTCTTTATTTAACACACCCGCATTTTCTATTGTCACAATTTTTGTCTGAACAATAAATGCTTAATGATTGCCGAACAAAATCAGGAATTGGCTTATCATTGGAAAATATTGGAGTTCAAACATCGTCAGTTATATTCCATCCTGAACCATCTGAATTTATAAGTGGTGTTGATGCATTGCTGTTGTACCATATTTTAAGTTGATACATACACCTGCAATAGTTAATTATAATATATTAGCTAAGAAATTTATTAATTAGATATTTACGTTTACCTTAAAAAGTGTTGGTAAAAAGCGCCGTCAGTTGGAGGAAGCTCCCATGATGGTTTGTTTGTTGTTTTTGCTAATTCGACTCTTAGATCATTTAATTTTAGAATTTGTTTATCTTTGGTTTTGTACAGTAGAAGAATAAATTTTGTAACGATTTCTACAACTTCGTCATTAGACAGCATTGGCAATTCCGATAAGTTTTGAAGGACGACAATATTTTTTTAAGAACGTCAAATGCAGATTTTTTTCCTATTTTCAAAAATTAATATCTTGTTTGGGCTTCATTTTCTTCGCTGCATGTATATAAAAAAAATCATAAATAAAAAAGTTTATCGATTGGTGAAAATTGTATTACACAAAATTTAAATTTCAAGTTTTCCTGATTTTTAGCGAAATGAAAAGCGAATTTTATAAATATTTATATTCGCGTGATACGTCTGATTGCAAAATACAGGTAAGATCAATGTTAAAACCTAGCATATGATTTACGACAGTCTATAAGGTATTTTATTTTAATTTCGCCATTTAAAATATTGTTTTTTTTTTTTTGACAACAAATCTTGAATTCTAG